AACACAGGATCTGCAGACTTGGGGTCTGGAATTTGGCCGGGCTGGGTTAACCGCCTGGGTGAAATGTTCAAGGCACCTTCAGTACAATGGTTGCCAAGTCCTATGCCATCGCCGCCGAGGCCGAGGAGCACACTGGAGCAGACAAGCGGTGTTGTGGCGTCCCCACCGACGTACCCAGCGGCGCCGTCGAACTCTGGTCCTTGGCAGAGTGCAGGTGGTGAAGATGGTAGCGGTTTAGGGGGTGTAATCCCTAGTCACCATTATACCCCAAGCAGCAGCAGCATTCCAGCAGAAGCGATCCAAGCTGAAGTCCAACGACAGTTAGGAAGCCTACTGGATAGACTGCAGCAGGCCGAGAATGAAAACCACCGCCTACAGGAGCAGTTGGTACATGTTCAATCACTTAAGACGGGTGCAGTGGGCGCTTCTCGACTATCCCATCGAGAAAGCAGTCAAGAAGTACCAGCACAGGAAGGCGGAGCGGAAGTTCAGGGTGACGGTGTATTTGCAAGGCCTCCTTCCAGTGTACCTGATCGTCCTACTGTACCTAGTCGTGATCCAGGTGAAGGGGGGGAAGCTCGTCCCAATCCTTGGCGTGATCCTCTTGGGGCTTTGTGGGAAGAGCTAACAGCAAGCCGGTCAGGACAGCCGTCGGTTCCGAAGACCACAGCTCCACCCCCTGTGGAGGATCAAGCAGGAGCAACCTCTACAGCAGTGATCCTGGAGGCACTTACGCGTAACTTGACGAGTCTTCAGGAGCTCCAGGAGAAGTCGCTCAAGCGGGATATCGATGGGGATGAAGCTCCTGAGCAGGTGAAGAGTACAACGATTGCGCTGCCAAGCCTGCCCGCGCCTGAGGGAAATACCATGGGGATTCTGTTGCAAGACTGGTTGGCGCAGGTGGCAGTTCCGATGCAAGACCTGTCTTCTTCGTCAGGATCATGGTGGACTCAAGTGTTGGACCTGGTGCAGGACACCTACTCTAAGTGGTTGGCGGCCTCGCCGCTGGAGCGACTGCAGCTTGAGCCAAAGGACCATGAGACCTTGACGAAGGGTAAGTGGACAAGGGTAAATGCAAGGGCATGCTCAATGGTGCTTCAGAGCCTACCGGACACAGTGAAGCACGACCTCATTGCAAGCAGGGTAGTGCAAAGTTCACCGATGATTCTTTTCCGACTTCACACGACGTATCAGCCAGGAGGAGCGTCGGAAAGGTCAACGGTGCTGAGCAATCTCCAAAGCTCAGTGCAGTTTGAAACCATGGAAGAGTGTCTGGTGTGGCTTCGAGCGTGGCCACGGTGGATGCAGAGATGCCGTGACCTTAAAATGATGGTTCCAGATGGTTCAGTGTTGGCCAGGACCTTAACTACAACGACTTCGAAGTTTATGACGGAGAACCTGGATGCACGATTCCGCACTCAACTGCTCGGGTCTAGCCTACGCATTGACACCCAGCCGTCGCAGGCAGATGTCTCTCGTTACCAACAACATCTACAGGCTGAGATGGAAGCGCTGATTGCTTCGAGACCTGGCCAGCTGGGAGCACATGTCAAGGTTAAGGCTATGGGCACTACATCGACCCCGTCATCACCTACCTCAACAGGACCCCAGGCGACTACGGGATCCGGCAAGGGCTTGTGCAAGTACTTCTTCAAGCAGAGTGGGTGTCGAAAGGGTGCCAAATGCCCGTTTAACCATGACATGTCACATCTCTCAAAAGCCGAGCGTGCAAAACGGTGTCTAGTACGCGGAGGAGAAGACCATCGTCAACGGGAGTGCCCTACGAAGGTACCGAGACCCACCGGAAGGCCTAGTCTTCCACTAGGGGGAGGAGGACAAGCAGCAGCTCCGTCGACTACAACATCCCCGGCCGTGGCGGCGGTAAAGGCAGAACCTGAGGGTGAGATCTCTCCATCGTCTACAGCAGTGGTGTCAGGGGAGCCAGTTTGGACTTTGGAAACCTTGCTACAAGCAGCCGCGAAGGTAGCAGGTGCAGCTCCAAACAGTGGCCCTTCGATCAATGTGGTGTCGTTGAAGGCTCACTACCCGATCGGTGGCGGGGGACAGACATTCGCCCTTGTGGACTCAGGTGCAACACATGCTCTACGACAAGCGCGCTCGGAGGCTGAATGGCTTGAAGCCAAACCAGTTGTAGTTAACTTGGCTGGTGGGGAATCAGTGAGTTTGCGGATGAACGAAGCCGGGACCATTCTGGTGCCTTCGGCAACTACGACTACTATGAATTCGTCCGCTCCTATAGTACCACTCGGAGCACTGGTTGGACAGCTGGGATACACTATGACATGGAGCAGCAATCGTTGCAGGCTTGAGGGCAGAGACGGTGACACCTACAATTTACGAGCGCGTGAGGGATGCCCTGAGATTGCAGAGCATGACGCACTCCGCCTTATTGCTCGGCTTGAGGATGAAAACCTAGAGCTTCTTCGCAATAACACAGATGCAACCAAGAGGCGGGTGAAGGCAGCAGCGTTAGCAATGGAGAGAACGTGGTTTGATTACCTCATGTCCTACGTGGATGGTGCGATGGCCTCGGAGGCTTTGAAGGCGATCGAGGCTGCCTCCTTTTTGCAGGAGGTGCCAAAGCCATGCAAGGAGGGCCTGGTTGAGTCGTTTCCAGAGGCAAATGGTTGGGAGTCTCTCAAGGGGCTACAGCATCTCAACAGGAGAACCAGGAAGCGCTTATGGTCCTCAGACAAATGGCTGGTGCACTTGTTTTGTGGAAAGCAAGAGAGAAAAAACCTGCAGTATTTGGAGGGCCATGGTTACACCATCTTTGAGCTGGACATTGAGCGAGGCAAGACACAGGACATCCTACAACCATTGGTCTGGCGAGCGTTGGAGTTTGCAGCTCGGACTGGGAAGATCGCGGCGATCATCGGTGGTCCTCCCCAATCTACGTTTATGATCTCAAGGCATGTTACAGGAGGTCCAGAGCCGGTGAGGTCTCCAGAGTTCTTGTATGGTGGATGGCAAGGACAGCCCGAGGCTGATGTTTGGAAGGCCAACAGAGAAACGCAGCTTCTGACCCGCATGATATATCTGCATGCACTTTCGATGGCAGGTCGGTTGAGAGCTACTACCGGGGTGGCTTCAAACAAAGAGGTGGCATTTCTTCTAGAGCACCCAAGGGATCCTCGTGGTTATTTACAGTTTGGTGATCCACTGTATCCTGATGTTGTTAGCTTCTGGAGGACTTCTCTTTGGACCGAGTACGCGTTGGAAGCTGGTTTCCACTCCTACAGCTTCGACACGGCAGCCTTCGGCAAAGCGTACACCCGTCATACAACTATAGGAACTAACCTACAGCTCAAGCATCTGGACGGTTTGCGCATGAAATGGCATGCTGGGGCCGCGGATCCTGACAGAACGCCGGCCTGTGTGTGGCCGAATGAATTTTACGAGCACCTCGTGTTAGCGTTACGTGACTGGGGTGTTATTCCCAGGATGGTTCGCATGAGCGCTGATCAGTGGAGGGAACATGTTCGTCGAGGCCATCTACCGTTCCGTCCAGATTGCGCAGTATGTGTGCAAGCTGGGGCCACCGGAAGACGACATGCACGGATAGAGCGTCCATCAGCGTTTGTGCTGTCAGCTGATTTAGCAGGGCCAGTGAAGGTGGGCGGCTTGGATCCAAATGCGAGAGGCGCTTTCCCAAAACCGTACAAGTACATCTTCGTTGCCAAGCTCCGAGTCCCACGAACCTTTGTTGAAGATGGCCGAGGAGATTGGGTTGAGTATGATAATGGGGAGCTGGAGGAGGACAAGTATGAGGAGAAGGATGATGGGTTAGCCGTAGATGGTGGGGCAGAAAAGGAGTCAATTCGGTCGGAGCCAGTAGAGGATGAAGATAAGGACCAGGAAGACGAGCCAGCTAAGAAAAAGGATCCAGAGGAAGACCTAGATCTTGCAGCTCCAGACTTGGTGAACCTGATCTTCGCTACAGGCATCAAGGATGAAAAGGCCCCAACCGTGTTAGAAGCGATCCAGGACGTAATCCTCTATTGCCAGGCACTCAACATACCAGTTCTTCGCTTCCATTCGGATCGTGGGATGGAGTTTCAAGCCAAAGCGTCCAAACAATGGCTGAAGAATCAAGGTGTTAGAGTGACTACGTCTGAAGCAGGTGATCATCGTACAAAAGGTGCAGCTGAGTCGACAGTGAGGTGGATAAAGCAGAGAGCGCGTACGCTGTTATTGTCTGCCAAGCTGCCCCAGCAGTTGTGGCCCATGGCAGTGTCCACGGCGGCTACCATGCAGCGGTCTGATGTGTTGGGGTTTGAGCCTCTACTGGCAGCTCCATTTGGGACAAAGGTCACAGTGCGGAAGCGTCAAATGGAAGGACCTAAGCTCGATGACCTGGCTCCAAGATGGGTTACTGGGACGTATGTTGGAAGGTCAGATAGTCTACATAAAGGGCATCTGGTCTATGTCAAGGATGAGGATGGGGAGAGGTTTGTGCACACCCTTCATGTTCGAAGTTCTCTACATGATCCTGGTCCAGTGGAAGGAGAGTTGGTAGCAGATGAGCCGGAAGGCCCTAGCCGGAGGGTTAGAGGCAAGTCTGCTGGTAGCGGGGATGTTGTCGCAGTCACCAAGCTATCGGTGGAACAAGAGGAAGCACTCAAATCTCGCGCGGAAGCTCTTCTACAAGCTTGGTCACAGGAGGAGGCGGAAGCCATTGTGAAGGAGGTGTGTGCGGTGCTAGCCCCGTCGGAAAACGTCTATGGAATGTTTCGTTTTGGTGGAAAAACGGGTATTACAAGGGCTACGCTAGAGCGACCGTGGCTTGCGAAGATCCTGTTGAGATTGGTGGTGGAAAAGGCTCCGGAGGCGGAGTTTGCGGCGATCTTTGTCTCAGTCAATAACGAGAGGGAAGTTCATATCGATCGCAATAATGCCTTTGGTACGCTTAACTACCTGCTTCCACTTACAATGCCGAGGAGAGGTGGTGAAATCTGGCAAGAACTCAGACCAGGAGATGTTGTTCAAGGCAGAGTCCTGGAACTGCAGTCGCTCGATGGCCGCACTCGATATGGGTGCTCTTATCCTCTGCAGGAGGGCAGTGTGTTTCAGCTGAATCCACATCGTCGTCATGCTGTGTTACCGTGGACAGGTGACAGATTGGTGATTGTGGGGTACACACCTGGAACTCTGCAGAATCTGGCGGCAGTTGATAAGGAGCACTTATGGTCGCTGGGCTTTCCTATGCCAATCTATGACGAGGGCACAGGAGCTATTGTCAGCATTAATGCTTTCTCTGTGCAGCCTACAGCTGGAGCAGTGGATGTGGTTGTTGAACGCGAGCCACCTAGTCATGATGACAGTACTGTTGATCCCAAGGGTCCAGAAAGCACTATGTCCTTATCAACTACGAGCGCTTGGACGTCAGGTAGTATGGTGCAGTGTGACAACGAGGAGTGGTCTCACTGGGATATGTGCCTGGTGCTGGATGGTGGTGAGCAGATGGCTATGTTGGCAAGCAGCATCGGTCAAGGAGGTGTCCGGTGCGCAAAGGCAGAAGTGTCCTTTACCGATGGCGTGGAGGAGATCCTGGGAAGCTTGGACGGGCCGCTAAGTGTGGTCTACACAGCCAATCCTCGAGAAGTGGCTACTCACTTTGAGGACTGGGTGCCTTCGCTAAAAAAGGAGGTGGCATCTCTGTCGCATGCAGTTGAAAAGGCCTGGAGCAATGATGATCAGGTTCAGGAGGAGATACCCTCTGGGAGGGCACAGGTTATTCCTATGAAAGCAGTTTTTACTGTCAAGCCGCCAGACCCCCCTCCGGAAGGTGAGACGTTGAAATCCTTCTTCAAGCGCAAGTCAAGAATAGTAATTTGCGGGAACTTAGCGTCTCATCAGCCTGGTGAAGTATATACCAATACAGCTCCAGCAGAACTGGTTCGTGCAGCCTTGGCTTTAGCCCAGATGTTCGGCTGGAACGTTGGCATACTGGATATAGTTGCAGCTTTCTTACAGACCCCGTTTGCTGCGCTACCAGGAGCCCCGCTGGTCTATGGAGTTCCCCCGAAGGTGTTGGTGAAGGCAGGACTATGTCAACCGGGAGAGTTGTGGCGCCTCACACATGCAGTATATGGCCTACAAGAGTCACCGCGTCTATGGGGAATGTATAGGGATCTATGCCTAGCCCAGATCCAGATCGTGCACGAGGGCAAGAGAGTCACATTATTGCAGGGAAAGGTGGAGCCATCGTGGTGGTCAGTCCTTCAAGAAGGCTCGATCCTAATCGGCATCCTGGTGGTATATGTGGATGGCTTGTTGCTTTGCGGGCACCCCTCAATTATACAGGAGTTGGCTTCAGCAATAAAGGCAATTTGGAGCACCAATGACTTACAGATGCTGTCTGATGGGACAATCAGATTCCTCGGCATCGAGATTTCTATGTGTTCGCAAGGGTTTGCATTGTCGCAGAGGTCGTATATAGAGGAGCTCGTACGACTACATCATCTACCAGCTACTAGAAAGGATGTTGTGCCGGTGTCAAAGGAGCTCGCTACTTTTAGCACAATGTCAGAAGAAGGCGAGTATACAGAAGCTGAGCTGAAAGCGGCTCAGCAATGCGCCGGGGAACTGTTATGGATATCGCAGCGGACGAGACCTGACTTGGGGTATGTGGCGTCGTTGGTTGGATCGCTATCCACGAACTCCAAGGCGTGCAGTCCAGATAGCTGAAAAAACCATAGCCTTTCTCCAACGCACGATTGATCAAGTATTGGTTATGCAGTCTGATGGGTCGGGTCTCACAGGTTATTGTGATGCCAGCTTTGCTCCGGATGGAGAAAGGAGCCATTCTGGATGGATCCTGTTCTTACACGGATGTGCTATAGCATGGAAGAGCTCAAGGCAAAGTACTATAACATTGAGCACAGCAGAAGCAGAGCTTACGGCGATCTCCGAGGCAGTCCTAGCACTACAAAGTGCGGCGGCAATGCTACACGACGTTCAGGCGGATGAGGTTAACATGCATCTCTTTACAGATTCGACGTCGGCTTTGTCAATTGAAAATGGGTCAGGAAGTTGGAGAACACGTCATTTAAGACTGAGGAGTTCATGGGTGGCGGAGTTGGTGCAAGCTCAGAAGGTGACGATCACGCACTGCGTCGGGGAGCTACAGGTAGCAGATATTCTTACCAAGGCTTTGCCATCTCAAAGAATACGTACTCTTGGCAGACTGATGAATCTCCTGAACCCTGATGATGTCAATGAGGACGATGGCCTGAAGATCGCAAGCATGAGCATACAAAACGGCAGCAGCAGAGCTAAAGCCCCTAACTCCTGCCCTAAGTTGTTAATTGCGTTGCTGGTGTTGGCGCAAGCTACAACTGGAGAGAGCCATGGCTGGGATGAGGATGAGCCGCTGGTGGTTCGGACAGGAATGAGCGTGGACTATGGTATCGTGACTTGGGCCCTTTTGTGGGGAGCTCTAATCCTGGCACTGGTATTTTGGGAGCTGCTGAAGTGGATGGTGTGGCTGTTGTATGACAATGTGGCACCAGGGTCAAGATCCAGAAGACTGAGACGACTTCAAAAGTTGAGGGATGCTACAACATCGGCGATCCAGCGCGAAATCGAGGTCAGAACGGGAGGCCGTCTGGAGCAACGGGCTGCGGATAGCAAGCTTTTCCCGGATAAGCAACCCCGGGTTCCGCAAAGGACCTCATCTACGGCAAGCTCTTCAAAAGAACCACATACTATGACTGCAGAGGAGAAGGCCAATGAAAGGATTCAGCTGCTGCGTCAGCTAGCAGGAGGGAGAAAGGAAGTTCGAGAAGCGAGCTGTCAAACTGGTGTCTTTGAGCAGGTTGCCCCGAGAGATACCAGAGTTATCTTACGATATGTTCATGAGCCAGCAGGTGAAGTATTCATTGTGCCACAGAATGAGTGCTACCACGTCTATAACGACTGTCATGCTTTTAGACATCGTGGAACTGCTGACCGGGTTGAGTGTAGACGGCTATGCCAATATTGCCTGAATCGGTCTGAAGACGACCCCGACAAGAGAGTGAACTATGGTGATGATCTACAGCGAGCTCAGGAATACGAAAGACTATTCAATGCACAGCTCAGCACCTCCGGTCAATCGGTAAGAGATTGATCACACCTCCCGGTGCGATAAAAGAGGAGTGTTGAAGCCCTGAGTTGCAAGCTGTGGAAATTAGCTTCAGATGTGCAGTGCATGTTTTTGGTGCCGCTCAGGGAAAGCTACGGTTCAAGCCCCTTGAGTCGATAGCAGTCAATTCCAAACGAGTGTAAAGCACGGTCGTGGAAGACTGCCCTTCTCGGCAGAAGCCAGCACACTCAACAAAGTACAGCTTTGGTTTGCCGCTAAAGAATTCGGGCCGTGCAGGTAGGTGCGCCATGGATGACAGCACTGTGAATCCTGCACATCAATAAGGGTTTAGGGTTTAGGGACCTTTATAACTAGAATAGGGATTCGGGGTTTTGGGGCTTTGGGGGTTTGGTGGTTTTAGGGTCAAGATGCGGTTTCTGGGGCTTTTGGTTCAGAGTTGGGGAGATTGGGCTTTTGTTTTAGATTTTATGGTTCAGGGAGTTAATAGGGCCCGCACTTTTTTTTTTCCTA